AAGAAAGAAAGAAAGAAAGAAAGAAAGAAAGAAAGAAAGAAAGAAAGGGAGAAAGAGAGAAAGAGAGAAAGAGAGAAAGAGAGAAAGAAAGAGAGGGAAAGAAGAAAGATAAAAATAGAGAGAGAAAGAAAGAAAAAGAAGGAAAGAAAGAAAGAAAGAGAGAGAGAGAGAGAAAGAAAGAAAGAAAGAAAGAAAGAAGAAAAAGGAGGAAGGAAGGAAGGAAGGAAGGAAGGAAGGAAGGAAGGGAGGGAGGGAGGGAGGGAGGAAGGAAGGAAGGAAGGAAGGAAGGAAGGAAGAAGAGAGGAAAGAAAGAAATGAAAGAAACTCTTAGTAAGGGATACAAACAAGACAAATGTACATTGGGAGAGGTAGAAAAAGGCTACTCCAAACCTTTATTTTTTGCTTCTAGCATTTTATAGCTTTTTTAGTAAAAAAATCTTCTATATAAGAAAAAAATTACCTCATACATAAAATGTTAAAGAAAAGGGAATTATAGCACAAAAGAGATTCAAAGTTCAAAGCAGTGTTTCATTGTGTGAGTTCATTATAAGTTTAGAGCAACAGTTTCATATGGCCTTGCTTTTCCACAGTGAAGACTTGTGATCTATTTCTTGGATCAAATGTAGCATAAATGTTTTTTCTCTGATCATTAATTTGATCCAATCCTTTTTGTTTCCCTAGTCTATGACACATAAAGGTATATAGAGCTCTATTTGCAACTTTTATTCTATAGGGCGCTTGAGAAGAGTTGTATCAATTTACAAGCTCTATAAAATCATGACCAGCAATTAGGAAATGGTCAATTCATCTAAACAGCATTACTACATGGAAGAACACCTTCATATTGATTCTGCAGGAAATTGACCCAATAGAGTGGGTAAATACCCAGGAAATCATTAAGCTATGTAATAGTGAGAGGAAAGAGAAGCAATATCTGAGTCAAAATCTCTGGGGTCGTTGCCTCTCAGAGTGTACCCATTGCAGCCACACAAAACTGTGGATGTCTTGAGAAATCTTAGTTCATTGTCAGAGCCTTTCCAAGATGGCTTCTAACAGCAACTTAAGGGAACAGGGCATGAGGTCTGGGGGCAGGGCATGCAGTGAGTTTTACTGGGACAGTTGTACAGAGACAGCTTGCAGACAGAACAAGCTAGACACAGGTAAAGACAGAACCACCCATATTTGAAAAGGAGCAAAGCATTGAGAACATATTGCCAAAGTTAGTATTAAGGTAAGCAGAGCAAATCCAGTCAGAAACTGAGAGAAGTCAGATTGAACCAATCAGCTTGGAGAAAGTTTGAGCAAGAATAGCTGAGTTAAACCAGTCAGCCAGAGCTCAGAAAGAGTTAGATTATTAGGGATTCAGGAATAAGTCTCAAATGCTGTAAACACTCTAGAACTAAACTAGATTGTGATGAATCTAGAAGCATCCAGAAATAAGCTTAGGTTAGCAGACAGAGGCAATACGCCTCAGAGATGACAATTAACTTCACAAAAATAAAAGTTATATTTACAAATACTTATTTGAAGAGACTAATTTCATCTACATATCTTTATTTTATTTATTTACCAAAAGCAGTTACTTCCACTAAAGTCTTGATCACTAAAATCCTTTCAGAAAACTACCCAAGATGTTTCTTTTTTTTCTTTCTTTCTAGGTAGGCCATGGGTGTATCTGATCATTACAAGGATAAAACCATCTAAAGAATTAATCCAAAATGAATCAGTTATTCTTACAATGATTCTGCAGGGACAAAATTCTGGTATTTGGCATTGGAAAGGACAAAGTAAGGAATTCTTGGCCTGATGGCACTAAGCAGACCCCTTAACCCTGTTCTCTGAGGAATTCCACTCTGAGCACAGCACACAGTGCTGACTTCAGAGATACTCACCTGATTGTGGTATATTCCCCAAATTATGAGTTCATCATTTAGGGAAAGATGCTGAACACTGTGAGATTCAAAGACAAACTCGCCAACTTTCACTTGAGTTTTGGGAACATTCAGCGGAGACTGGTAATTAAAAATGTCAAGTTTGGTTGCCGAAACTTCCTTGTTCACAAGGTTCTCCTCATTGGAGCTTCTCCCAAGTTGGCCCTTTTGTAAGAATGGATGAAGCTGAAATAGAAAATAATGTTCGAAACTTGCACTAAAAGTCATTGAGATGCAAATAAACCCGGTTACTTTAACTGTCCTTTCTTTCACTCACTGTATGTTCCTTTGCCTTTGATTTTTCTTCCATTAATAAACATTTATCATAAGACTAGTGGATGCTATATGAAAGAATTAGCATAGTCATATGCTATTTACCAACACTATCACCACTATTCAAATTTGAAAACTGAACTTTTCTCAGTTACTCAGTGATGAAAGGAATGCTCTGTCCACCAGATTCTAATTTTTATGAAAAGTAAGAAAAATTTGAATGCGATATTATAAACACTTGCAGAATAGCTTTTTCAGAAAAATTACAATTTTTTTCACAAATACAAATTACTTGAGAAAGTTCTAATAAAATAAAATTTTCAGATTTTAAAATATGAAATTTGTAAATAAGAAAGGAAGAGAAAGGAGAACACACGTGATATAGAAACGCAGAGGATCATGTGATGGAGAGCTTCCAAGACAGATGGGAGTCAAAGAGAATAGAGTGGAGTAAGTTAACCAAAGCCAAACCTATATAAAGAAGTCACACATATAGCTACATCTTTAAGCTAGTTAGAAAGAAAATATAATTTAAAAAGAATTTGAACAGAGGTATTACAGTCTATTTTATATAAAATATCCCTGTGGCCATTAGGAAGCCACCAAAAGACCCCAAGACTATGCAGGTTATGATCACTACGCTGAGTTACATGGAAGAATCAGAAGGAAGACCCTATTGCTGAAGACACCACACACCTTGACTTCAACACAATAGTAAGGCTGGAACTAAGGTGAAAACTTTCTCCCTGTTGTCTGTTCTGCTTTTTTGTCTGTCTGGCACACTTTACTCTGGCAGAAGCTGAACTGCATGCTGCTGTGAAAGAAAAGTCAGCAGAGGCCTCTCCCAACTGTGGACCTTGCATTCTATAATACCAACTTCCCAGACACAATGTGCATACTGGAAAACTACTGGCACAACGGTCATGGGAATAAACAACTGCTAACTGACTGCATTTGAGGACTTCTTTATAAAAGAAACTCATGCCTGTTTCTGCAAAGCTATTCAATATCCATGTCTGGGGAAATCAAAAGTCCTATGGGTGAGCCTACATTTTGTTTGACTAAGAAGACACATTATTGAACTGCCTCATGTATATTTACATACATAGAATAGTGCTATCATCGGATTATATCTGAGAATCTTCTCTTTGCCAGGAATATCAGTGCTTGAGGAAAACAATGACCATTGAGTGCTCATACTGAAATGAGACAGCCATGTGACTGTTCCTAAAGCACAGGAGAGATTGTGAAAGAGGGGATAGAGAGAATGCAAGAGCAAAATGCTGGGGAGAAGGTCCATGAAATGCTGTCTTTTAGCTGTGACATGGTCATGGCACTCATGAACTTGTGGCAGTTAAGTTTGCCTCTATAGAACCAGCACAAGACTGAGCCAATAAAAATGTTAAACCACAGAGTACAGAGGGGGCTAATGGGATCCAGCTCCTCACATGACCCGTGTTAGAAACGAAAAGATTCTGAAGGAAAGGTAATCATTGCGATCAGAAATGCCATCAATTTTGTATTCCTTCTGCCTCATTATTTTTTATTGGATGTTTTATTTACATTTCGTATGTTGTCCCCTTACCCCATTCCCCACCCACCCAGGAACCCCCTATCTCATCACCCTTCCTCCTGCTTCTCTGGGGATGTACCCCGACCTACCCCCCCAACTCCCACCTCCCCATCCTCAAATTCCCACCCCCTGGGGAGTCCAGCCTTCATGAGGCCAAGGATCTATTCTCCCACCTATGCCCAGACAGGGCCCTCCACTCTTACATATACAGCTGAAGCCATGGGTCCCTCCCTAAGTGCTCCCAGGCTGGTGGTTTAGACCCTGGGAGCTCTGTTTGGTTGGTATTGTTGCTATCCTCATGGGGCCACAAACCCTTTCAGCTCCAATGGTATTCACTCTAACTCCTCCATTGGGAACCCCTTGATCAGTTCAATGTCTAGTTGTGAACATCTGCCTCTGAATGTGTCAGACTCTTGAAGACCTCTGAGGAGACATCTTTATCACGATCTTATGAGCATGCACTTCCTGATATCCACATCAGCATCTACCCTTGGTGACTGCACTTGGGATGGATATCCAGGTGGAATGGTCTTCAGATGGCCCCTCCTTCAGTTTCTGTCCCTCACTTTGTCTCCATATTTGCTCCCTTGAGTATTTTGTTGCTCCTTATAAGAAGGACTGAATCACCCCCACTTGATCTTCTTTCTTCATGAGCTTCATGTGGCCTGTGAGTTGAATCTTGGGCATTTCAAGGTTCTGGACTAATATCCAACAATCAGTGAGTGTATACCATGTATATTCTTTTGTGATTGGCTTACCTCACTCAGGATGATAATTTCTAGTTCCATCCATTTCTAGTTCCATCCATTTCCTAGGAATTTCTTGAATTCATTGGTTTTAATAGATGACTAATACTCCAGTGTAAATGTACCACATTTTTTGAATGCATTCCTCAGTTGAAGGTCATCTGGGTTCTCTCCTGCTTCTGGCTATTATAAATAAGGCTGCTATGAACATAGTTGAGCATATGTCCTTGTTATATGTTAGAGCATCTTCTGGGTATATGCCTAGGAGAGGTATAGCTGAATCCTCAGGTAATGCTATGTCCAATTTTCTGAGGAACCGCCAGACTGATTTCCAAAGTGGTTGCACCATCTTGCAGTCCCACCAACAATGGAGGAGTGTTCCTCTTTCTCCACAACCTCACCAGCATCAACTATCACCTGAGTCTTTAATCTTAGCCATTCTGGCTATTGTGAGATGGAATCTCAGGGTTGTTTTGATTTCCATTTCCCTGATGACTAAGGATACTGAACATTTCTTTAGGTGCTTCTTGGCAATTCGAGTTTCCTCAGTTGAGAATTCATTGTTTAGCTCAATACCTCATTTTTAAATAGAGTTATTTGGTTGTCTGGAGTCTAATTTCTTGAGTTCTTTGTGTATATTGGATATTAGCCCTCTATCAGATGAAGGATTGGTAAAGATCTTTTCCCAATTTGTTGCCTGTCGATTTGTCCTATTGACAGTGTCCTTTGCCTTACAGAAACTTTGCAATTTTATGAAGTCCCATTTGTCAATTCTTGTTCTTAGAGCACATGCCATTGGTGTTTTGGTGTTCTGTTCGGGAACTTTTCCCCTGTGCCCAAGTATTCAAGGCTCTTCCCCACCTTCTCTTCTATTAGTTTCAGTGTATCTGGTTTTATGAGAAGGTCATTTATCCACTTAGACTTGAGCTTTGTACAAGGAAATAAGAATGGATCAATTTTCATTCTCCTACACGTTGACCTCCAACTGAACCAGCAACATTTGTTGAAAATGTTGTCCTTTTTCCACTGGACAGTTTTAGCTCCTTTGTCAAAGATCAAGTGACCATAGGTCTGTGGGTTCATTTCTGGGTCTTCAATTCTATTCCATTGATCTTCCTGCCTGTTTCTGTACCAATACCATGTAGTTTTTATCACTATTGCTCTGTAGTACAGCTTGAGGTCAGGTGATTCCTCCAGAAGTTCTTTTATTGTTGAGAATAGGTTTCACTATCCTGGGTTTTTTGTTATTCCAAATGAATTTGAGAATTTCCTTTTCTAACTCTGTGAAGAATTGAGTTGGGATTTTAATGGAAGTTGCATTGAATCTGTAGATTGCTTTTGGCAAGATGGCCATTTTTATTATATTAATCTTGCCAATCCATGAGCATGGGAGATCTTTCCATCTTCTGAGATCTTCTTTGATTTCTTTCTTCAGGGACTTGAAGTTCTTGTCATACAGGTCTTTCACTTGCTTGGTTAGATTTACATCAAGGTATTTTATATTATTTGCGACTATAGTGAAGGGTGTCATTTCACTAATTTTCTTTTCAATCTGTTTATCTTTCATGTAGAGGAAGGCTACTGGTTTGTTTGAGTTGATTTTATAACCAGCCACTTTGCTGAAGTTGTTTATCAGGTTTAGGAGTTCTCTGGTGGAAGTTTTGGGATCACTTAAGTATACTATCCTATCATCTGCAAATAGTGATATTTTGACTTCTTCCTTTCCTATTTGTATCCCTTTGACTTCTTTTTGTTGTCTAATTGCTCTGGCTAGGACTTCCAGTACTATATTGAATAGGTAGGGGGAGAATGGCCTGCCTTGTCTAGTCCCTGATCTTAGTGGGATTGCTTCAAGTTTCTCTCCATTTAGTTGGTGTTGGCTACTGGTTTGCTGTATATTGCTTTTACTATGATTAGGTAAGGGCCTTGAATTCCTGATCTTTCCAAGACTTTTATTGTGAAGGGATGTTGAATTTTGTCAAATGCTTTCTCAGCATCTAATGAGATGTTCATGTCGTGTTTTTCTTTGAGTTTGTTTATATAGTGGATTACATTGATGGATTTCCGAATATTGAACCATCCCTTCATTCCTGGGATAAAACATACTTGATCATGATGGATGATTGTTTTGATGTGTTCTTGGATTCAGTTTGCTAGAATTTTATTGAGTATTTTAGCATCGATGTTAATAAGGGAGATTGGTCTGAAGTTCTCTTTCTTTGTTGGATCTTTGTGAGGTTTGGGTATGAATGTAATTGTAGCTTCATAGAACGAATTGGGTAATGTTCCTTCTGTTTCTATTTTGTGGAATAGATTGAAGAGAATTGGTATTAGGTCTTCCTTGAAGGTCTGACAGAATTCTGCACTAAAACCATCTGGTCCTGGGCTGTTTTTGGTGGGAAGACTTTTAATGACTGCTGCTATTTCCTTAGAGGTTATGGGAGTGTTTAGATGGTTTATCTGCTCCTAATTTAACTTTGGTACCTGGTATCTGTCTAGGAAGTTGTCCATTTCATCCAGGTTTTCCAGTTTTCTTGAGCATAGGCCTTTGTAGTAGGATCTGATGTTTTTTTTTAATTTCTTCAGTTTCTGTT